AATATTTAAATATTGTTTGGTTTCTGCGAAATTAACGGACAGAAAGAAAACATCAATGCAATTGATTTCTTCCTTTGTCTCGTTTCTTGTTGTTGAGGTAATTGTGGTTTATAGCCCTCAACCGTCCCCCAGGGCTGAATATGTTGTTTTCAATCTACAGCGGGAGGTTTTTGCATGAGTATAAATTCATTTCCCCTCACTGTGTGTCTCGCACAGTAATACCGGGCGGTGTCCTCGGGCTTCAGGCTGGTCATTTGCAGATACACCATGTTGACGGAGTTGTCCCGGGAAATGGTGAATCGCCCCTGAACAGCCGGCGAATAATGTTGCGTGGATCCAGTTGGTTTGCTAACCAGAGCCACCCATTCCAGTCCCTTCCCTGGAGCCTGTCGGACCCATTCCATCTGGTAGTCGCTGAAGGTGAAGCCGGAGGCTTTGCAGGAGAGGCGGAGAGAGTCTCCGGGCTTTTTCACATCCCCTCCAGACTCCACCAGCTGCACCTGGGACCAGACACCTGAGAATAAACACATGTTAATAATCATATCAATGCTAGTTTCAAATATGACAAAATTCCTCTGCATCCCCAGTGTACTTAAAGAGAGAGAGAAAATACCTTCCAAAGCTGCCACAATCAAAACTAAATGGAGCCAAAGCCTCATTTTCCCAAGAGCTGGAGGGGAAAGTTCTCAGAGTCTGGCTGGTCACTGCACAGACCCAGGGGCTGCGGATTGTGTCTCCAGGTGCAACCTGGGCAGAGAGAGGCACAGATTTAAACAGGAAACTGTCTCCCTCATTTGCATGCCCCCGCTTTATAAGAGACACACACTCCTGCTGCCAGTGATCTGTGCGACTCGCCCTAGAGCTCCGGGTGCAGGAGTCAGACTGTCCCATCCTGTGTGTCTGTGCAGCGCCGGGCACAAGGCACTGGGTCCTCCTGACACTTTCGGACCCCTGGGAGGAATGACCAGCTCCCTGCGGTGACTGTATTTCCTCACCCAGGAACTGAGGGCCTGGCTATTGTGAGGTGATATTGGGGATTGGGGGACTCAGCTCTGGAGCCCCGTTCCACGCGCACAAGGGCCATGCAACGTCCAGTCAGGGGGGTCAGTGTCTGGGGAGGGGTCGTGTCCCAGGGATCCATTGGGCTGGGCCACCCGCTGGAGAGGGGAGATTTCCCAGAGCGCTGGGAGGGATTTGGGATGGAAGCCCCTTTCCCTTCCCAGCAGTGACCGGCTACATTGAAATGATCCATGACACCAGGAACGTGATCTGAGCAAGCCTGGCTCGTGCTTTGGACCAGGTCTGGGGCCGCCTGTGGGTGCAGGTGGGAGAAGCTCGGTGGGGGGGCGGGGTGGATGTCTGAGGACAGAGTTAAGGTTTTGCAGTGGAGCCTCCCTGACATTGGTGGGCCGAGAGCGGCGTGTCTGGGAGTTTTTCTTTAGGGGAGAGTCGAGGAGGTTTCAGGCAACAGTGAAGGAAGATTATTCTGCGCAGCTGATATTTATATTGGTGTTTATATTCCTGTTCCCAGTCACACTCCACTTCCCATTTACACTCGGATTGTAAACTGGGACTGAGAGAGGGTTTATGGTCTGTGTTTGTATCGTGCCCAGGACTCTGGGAGCCTAGACTGTCATTAAGGACATAAGAATGGCCAAACTGGGTCAGATCAAAAGTCCATCTAGCCCAGTGTCCTGTCTCCCAACAGTGGCCAGTGACAGGTACCCCAGAGGGAATGAACAGAACAGGGAATCACCCAGTGATCCACCCCCTGTTGCCCATTCCCAGCTTCTGGAGACCCTAGGCACTAGGACCACAACCAGCACCAAATCTGTCACCGCTCAGCATCATCATACAGATCATTTACTTAGTTCATTATTAATAAGCAATAAAGTGTAGACAGAAGCTTTCTCCTGGTTGTGTTTAAAGAAGTTGTATGACATGAACACTATGTATTTCTAAACCATCCCCAAGATGTAATATTGAGGGATACCAACAAAAATATTTCCATTCCCACTGACTTTCAGACCAGTATCAGCATTCACACTGAAACACAGATCTCCACTCCCATTACCACCCATGTTCCCTTTCATATCCCCACACTCATTCCCACACACTGGAGAGAGAGAGAGAATGTTCTCGGGGAATGTTCCCTAGACAGTTACACTGAAGGATGCTCAGAGGATGAGGGTGGGTGGGTGGGTGGCTCAGTGCTGTAACAAGGGCGAGGCGAGTGAGGCACTTGCCTTTGGCACACAAAGTCAAGAGGGCGCAGAAAGTGGTGGAGAGAAAAAAAAAGCTGCTGGCATGGAGATATTGATAACCCAGGTGATCTCCCCCCCCCCCCAACCCCCG